GTATAAAACACAGCCCCGAGTACTGTGTATACACACCCCAAGTGTCAGGATGAGTGGCATGGAGGAGGGGTCCTTGTGCGCATAGCGGCCACATATACCCCCAGCGTGACACTGGACGGCAGCTCAGCCCTTTACCGCCAGTGCCGAGTCACAGCCAACAGTGCAGGGGTCGTAACCCACACTTGCCTAGTTACAGGGCACATCTCAAGCATCGGGCCTGGTAAAAATCCTGACAAGTGAAAGGGTAACAGGAAAAAGTAAAGCAAAACTTTCTATTTTGTTTTAAAGTTAAAAACTGAAGTACTGGCAGGTAATTTCTCTAAGAGCTGCTTCTCTCAGAGTTTACGTCATTCACCTTGCCATCCCTAAAAAAGCCACTGTGCTTTTTTTATTGAGCTAGAAATTTAAAGCATAAACATTTGACTTTATCAAGAGGCGCGTGAGTGCTCAAGTTTTCCAGGGCCCTTAAATAAAGCTGACATGGCCAGGTGGGTAAGAAGCTTATTCAGTTTTACTCTGTGCCTCTCTTCCAGTTACTTGATTTCCTAAAGATGTTGCTGAAATAGAATGGAATAAAACATTAAAGTTTTATTATCATGAAAAGTACCCTTAAATGCATTCTGATTCAGAGTAGGTTAGTCAGCTTCACATTATTGTGACCCCACAAGCTATATGGAGGGTGTAGGTTCAGATTTGGTTGATGTTTATTAAGCACCATCCCAGTGCCAGACATTTTACTAGGGGATTTTAATAAACTATATATATAGTTTATTTTATATATATATATAATATTATAATATCATAATATATATGTATCTAGTCATCACATAACCTTGTGAGTTAGCTGACATCCTTTCCAGGGCTGAAGTGCTGCCTTCTCCAGGCCATAAAGCTAGTAATAGTCTTAGCTACCATTTATTTACTCTTACCTGGTCCTGGACACTGTGCTAACAGCGTTGCCTACATTGTTCTATTTAATCCACACAGTAACCTTATGAGGTAGATGGTTTCAAATCCAATTTCACAAACGAGGAGCGAGGTAACTTCCTCGAGAATATGTGGCGAGGGAGCTTGGGGACACTGTGCTTCGGAGGCGGTGGGCCCAGAATCCCAGCGCAGTTCCCCTGGTGTTCCTTTCTCCGCCTTGTCATGTACATCAGAGCAGGCGGATCTGCCTCAGTGGCCATTGGCTGCTCTGACTTGACCTCGTGGTCTGAAGTGAGCTTCTGTGTGGATCCCTGACGGTGCATTTCCCGCTGCTGTGTGAAGCAGAGGAGTCATGGGGTGGTTCCTGGTGCCAGGTCACTACGGGACAGAGAAGGACAACCGTGAGCAGAGCTGCTGACAGTCCCTCTGCAGGTGATATACCGACAGGGACACATGGATGTGTCCACATGGAGCGCCTGCAGCCTGTCCTTGCTCTGGATCTCTCATTAAACGTAAAGAAGGAAAAGCCAGCTTAAGGTGGAAAACTCACGCCACCTTTTTAAAACATCTATTCCTGACCATGTTCATCCCCCTGTTCCAGAGGATCGGCTAGAATCAAGAAGTGAAAATGCAAGTAACATAAAACGATGAACCTGCGGAAACTCCCTGAAACCAAGTATGGGACACAGACTGTCCCAGTAACGAACGGCTGATTCTGAATGAGCCAGCCTCTTCGGGCAGAGTGTCCCTGCCGCCCAGGCCATGGTGCCAAGCAAATAGTGAGGGCAGGCAGAGTGCAGTGTAGTTCGGCTTTTCCGTCTGACCTGTCCAGAATCCCAATTAAGGATATTGCAAATTCTACACAAACAGGCCATTCTGCAGTTGGTTGCCAAAATATTTGCACCGTATGTGTCTAGATCCAAACGGTGACCAATGGCTCTCGCACACCAAGCTCGCAATTGGAATTAATCATTTTTTCTTCTGTGAGCTTAAGTAAATTAACTTTTAATCTTTTTTATGGACTCTACCGTATTCTGCCAATTTATATTTATGGAAGTGCTTGTTTAGGTATTTATTTTGAAGCCTTTCTCTTGAAGCAGCTGCTTATTAAAATAAATATGAAGTGTATATTTTTACTGTCCTTCTGATACTGGTCTTTTGACATTTTGAGAGCCAATGTGCTTCAGTAGCTTGACTCTGAGAAAAACTGGAAAGATAAAAGGAATTTTATGAGCATCATTGACGTGTATCCCAAACTTAAGAGCAGTTACTAAAAGTTCAGATGGGAATCCTCTTTTAGGTTACCCGTGGTCTTCATTATCTGTCATTTCACCAGAAAGGAGCGTTGACACTCTTTCTCCCTCATTCCTTACTCCTTGTTTTTATGCAGAACAGTGTGTTGCAAAAAGACCTTCACTGTCTTGGGACAGGAAGCTCATAAAATTACATTAAGGAATCTAGCTCAGGAAGAGCAGCTTTCCAGACACCATCTAAATAGTGCCTGTGATTTCACGTGGGCTCTTTTCCTTACGGCGCTCAGACAGGTCAGCCATCTAGGCTCACGGTCAAGATTCACATCCCCTAACGTGAACAACGGCCGTCCAGCCTTGAATTCTGTGGCCACAACTATGATCCCACCTTGAATTCTGTGGCCACATAAAGCATTGTGATTTTGACAATTAGAAATGCTGCGTAGGAAAAGAAAGAATGCTGAACAGGTTTTGGTACCAATTCTGCTTCGGACGGACTGTAATCCTGGGCAAGAACCCTGGCATAGCGTGGTCCAGAGGCCCACCTTGCATAAAAAGGGCAGAAAAGCATACCTGTTATATGGGTTGTGTTTTTAAGTGAACAAATGGAATAATGTAAGAAATGTACTTTAAACATTTTAGAACAAAATGGTAATAAAAATCTAGGTTTTGTTCATAAGTTTACTAACATCTTTCTTTTGGAAATGGATTCATGTTTGGTTGCATTGTTTGGGTCAAGCATCCTTTAACCTGTTTTGATTCTCTCTGTGGCCTGGAATGAAACCGAGAGTATAAATAGACGGTTTGTGTGTGTGCTTGCTTCATGCAGGAAGCAGGAAAGCCCTGGCAGCAGCCGGCTTTAGGTTAAAAGTTTAACAGTTCCAGAGCCTTCAAAGATCAGAATGGATTCTCAGATTGAGAACTAGGACTCAAGCTAAATATTTTCCCTCCTTTTATTTGCTTCCCTTCATTTTTTTACCGTTATCTGCTCTCATTCATTTGTGACTACAAATTAAGTGGCCCCTTTCCTTCTTTTATTGACAGTAAACATATTTTTTAGCCTTATTGAAGTATAATTGGCAAATATACTTTAATATACTTAAAATGAATGACACATACATTGTGAAAGGTTTCCCATAGAGTTAATTAGCACATCCATAACCTCACATATTTATTTTATTTGGTGAGAACACATAAGTTCTATCCAGCAAATTTTAATTATACAGTACAGTCTTATTAATTATAGTCCCCATGTTTTACACTAGGTCCTTAGACCTTACTCCTCTCATAGCTGAACATTTGTACCCTTTTACCAGCCTCTCTCCATATCCCCCC